AATTAGCACTGGCTACCTCTGCCAACTCTGTGTACCTTGGAGGCACCAGAAATTGCAACGCAGGACATGTATCAACTCCCGCGTGCTGCCTAGAAGTGTAGCAAGCCTGTGAGCGACTTTTTTTGAAAGACAATCTTCTTGGCCACTTTGCTGAGTTGTATGGACCTCTAGTCCTCTACACCTTTACTGCATGTGCAAAAGTGAAGTTGGCCCTGTGAAATTTCCTCCGGTACTACATGTAGCTCTTTATGTGTCAGATTGACACTCTATTTTATAGGCTCCCTTCCCACACTTATAGTGATTAGGATCAAAAGACAGTCACCTGCTTAGTGGGCCAAATTGTTTGTCAACCAGGTGAACTCAGCACTGAACTTTCTGTAGCATGTTGTCAGGGTGCAGACAGTCAAAGGTCAAAAACAATGCGTATACACAGCTACCTACATAAGGTGTTTGGTGAGCCAGTCAACATACTGGATGGCCTTTGAACCTCTGGGTAGTAAACAATGAGTAAGCTGACTCAACACATTCTGTGCAGATATCATCTTTCACTGTCAGTTTAGCATGCCTCCACACTTCTTTTGGGAGCAGTGTTACATCCTGTATAACACTGAATCTGCCACCCACACATTTACAACCTCATACTCTCTGTTGGGATCACCAGGCCACACAGGAAAAGAACTGGAATAGAACTTGGTCAGGGCTGCTTCCTGCATACATTCTTGGTTTCTTGCATGATTGTCTAGAGAGGAAGGTAGTCTATACCTGGGGATTTACCGGGGACTTTACCTTACTCCTGCAGCAGACCACAAACTTCTGAAACCAATGGCAAACATTTTGGCAATGCTTTGCTCCCTAAATAATTGTGTTGATATAAACTTAGAGAGAGCTACTAATTTTGCCTGGTCATGAAATGGGATCACATTTTATGTTGACACAATCATTCAATAATCACTCCTACGTTCACTTCAGCATATAGTGTGTAGGGACTAAGGACACCCTTGATATGTGGACAGCTCTTCCTCTAACACTTTCAATAACCCACGAAAATATGCCAAACCCACTTTTCTCTGGCACAGGTCCACCACGAGGGAGAGTGTGAGCTGTACCCCCAGCCCTGTGAGCAGTGCAGCCAGCTGGTCACCAGGAGAGACCTGGACAGACACTTGGAGGAATCCTGCTCCCTCCTCCGCTGTAAAGTCTGCCACACTCTGGTGAGCATTCATTACTGTTAGCTGTCGGCGCACATGAGTTGCTATCTGTGTGTGTCACTTATTCTAACACCACAGGCTACAATGTGGCATATAAGTGACACCAACGGCTTTAGAGTGACACGTGCATGAATAATTTTCCCGAAAAACTGATATGCTGTGAAAACAAGCGTAAAAGCCAATAATTATGCATAATCAGTACTTGCTTACCTCAACCAGCTCTAGCCTGTTCAGCGCACCACCCACTGAGGAATCAAGTTACTCGAGGGATGTGTATCTAATCTGTGTTAGAGTGAAAAACATGGCTCTGTAGACGGGCATTAGACCGCGTTGCATTGCATGGCCCTGCAAATCAATGAACGCTGCCTTATGGTGCATGCGTAATGTGAACATCAACGCTACATGCGTATGTTCCTCGAGCACATCTTGTCCTGTATATACCTGGCTCTAGCATGCCAGAATTTGTTAACCACCTGCATGTGGGAGGGATATTTGTTAGGGGTGCAACTTGCTGAGCCAAATGATACCACAGCTGCTTGGGGCCCATTTAGATAATACGGGGAATAACTGTTAGTAATTAGTATGCTGATGATGTGATTTTTGCATCAAGCACATATACTTATGTGAACTAATACAAACGCTGAGGTAATCCTCTTCCTTCCTGAAATACATGATTAATATAGCAATGCACCACACAGAGTTGGAGAGGAAGGTAGAGCAGTAGAGCATGATCGGTGTAATGTCTTGGTAACTCAGGAAGCACACTCTACCTAGACCGCAGAGTGTCGTGGATTTGCTAGGGCAAGTATTTTGTCCTCGGACGGTCATGATTTGCATTTGCTCATGATTCACGCGCAATTTGCATTCCATACCTGCCTAACCTACATTTTGCAACTAGGCCAGTCACACAGTCTGCATCAGTGTATAATTGGAATTTTAATGATATTCACAGCGAGTGAGTAAGCATTGCGTGTTCATGCATGTTTGCCTAGTGGCATGAGAGGATGATGAGGGAAATTGAGGTACAGTGTAGTTCACGCTTAAACCTGGAAATATACCATCTCATAGAGTGCGAAAAGTTCACTGATGCTAGTTGTATCCCCTTAGACACTCCTGGTTAGAGTGCAAAATTAAGGAAAAGCACTAAAGTGCAAACCCTCGGCGAACTGCGCATGCAAATTTATGGGCTGGGCCGGCTATGCGTTTACTCGTGGTATTCCCCTAGTAGCCCGCGGAGAGTCAGACACGGGCTAGCTACAGTAGTAGACAGCATGCGGGAGTCGATACATGCCATTCGTTGTGACTTCCTGAGCCCCCAAGGTGCACAGAGCGAGCGGATCAGGTCGCGGTAAGCCAGTGCGATTTGGCTTTTTCGCTTGTTTTCACGGCATATCTCTCGAACGAAGTCGTTTCAGGAAAATCGCCTAATAATTTTTCGGCCTCCCATAGTTCTGAATCCGCTGGTATCGCTAATGGGCCGCCTCGTAGCCTGTAGTGCCAGAATAAGCGTCAATACACAGACAGACAAACCAACTACCGTAACCCTCGCTGTGCATGCGCGCCGAGGGTTAAATATGTAGTTCATACATTACACAGTGCTAGTGCATTCCCTCTCCCTAACATACCACACCACCCACATACAAGAAGGTTAACAAGTCTTGGTATATGTTACCCCAGCAAAGGCGCATTAATTGGCCATTGGTATATACATGTTACCAGCAATGATGGCACCAGCCATTATGAGGTATATTATTGGCTTGTAGTAACACCCACTTAGCTGTACTACCACCAACAGCAGAGGGCTGAGCTACTTCTTAATCAACACCCACTTTGCTTTCCTTATAGGGAATTCAGGTATTGTGCTGGAGAAACATTATGATGATGGTTCTCTTTGCTATGCAACCGCTATGTTTGTGTATGCATGCATATTCAAGTGGCAGAGCATAATGCCCAAATTAGAGACTTGCTTTGCTCACAAACCAAGGTAGCCACGATTGCTAATGTAAGTATGTGTTGTCATGTGCAGGTGGATAGGGAAACTACCAAAGAAGTGATCGATGGAAAGCTGGGAAAGCTGCACTTTTCCGACCCGAAAATAGCCTTTGAACATTCGCACCACCTTACGAAACAAATCGAACTCATTAGCACACAGACAGGCCAAAGTGAAGACGTAGAGTACCTCAAGGAAAACGCAGTACCAAAGACAAAGATCGTAGAACTGGAAAGGAAAATGGACATGGCATTGACGAGGATGAACGTGTTGGAGTCAGGGAGGGAGAGCGAGGGAGTGGTCACCATGAAGACACTACTGCAAGAGATGCAGAGAACAATCAAGAACCAAAACAACAAAATTGAGGGGCAGGCCCGCGACATTGCCCGACTCACGAGCAAGCTTGAAGTAGCTGCAACCAAAGGACCGTCTAATGAATCACTTGTACGTATGGATTTCCCGAGAAGTACAGGTTTGAGCACCCAGGAGCAGCTGACTTCTGAGCCATCCTACGCCGACAGCAGGATGCTGCAGGTGATGAAGAGTGTGGAGGAGCTCCAGCGAACGACGTCAGGAATGAGAGTCCACATCTCAGAACTGGAGCTACAGTTGCAGGCCTCGCTGGCGAGCACACACACCGGCAGTTTCCTCTGGAGAATCCCCGAAGTCGCCCGGAGGAAGAGAGATGCATTCGAAGGCCGCATCACCTCCATCTACTCCCCGCCGTTCTACAGTGGGAGGAACGGGTACAAGATGTGCATCCGTGCCTACCTCAATGGGGACGGGATTGGGTTCAACACTCATCTCTCGGTGTTTTTCGTTCTCATGAGAGGGGAGTACGACCCTCTATTGAAGTGGCCGTTTGAGAGCAAAGTGTCCCTCGTCCTGGTGGATCAGAGCATGCGGCAACACATCATCCAGACCTTCAAACCCTCCCCAGACAGCAGCTCATTCCAGAGACCAAAATCAGACATGAATGTGGCCTCGGGATGTCCACAGTTTGTGAAACTTTCGATCCTAGATGAAGGAAATTACGTCAAAAATGACGTATTGTTTCTCAAGTGCATTGTAGACACATCCAAAATCGTTCATCCTTAGTTCATGTGTACATTTTTGTTTTGTCTTGCCTATTAGCATGCTACTCACTTTTTCTCTGTAATTAACCCTCGGCGCGCATGCGCAGCAAGTGTTATAGTACTTTGTTTGTCATTCTGTCCGTCTGTCTGTCTGTTACCACGTTTTCTCCCGCTACGCGCAACAAGACGGCCAAAAAGCGATACCAACGGGTTCAGTGCCACACTGGCTTTATTTTAAAAATAGCGATTTCGTTAAAAATGCTGCGTTCGAAAGTTATGGCGTGAAACAAAGTGAAGGAGCTAATATGGAA